AAGATGATCAAACTTCAAATCTAAATCGTTCGTCCATTTAAAATACTTCATTCGTTAAAAAATATATTCAGTTTAAAAACATAAGGACTTGTAAAAATAATTTCAAATGTGTAGAATAACAATAATAAACAGCACTTACCGGCGTAAAATGGCTATACATTTCTGTCTATACTCTTTTCTTGTTACCCAATAATTGTTGGCAGATAGAAAGAGAAATGACAAATGTCCTTTTCAATTTCATTCAAATTATATGTGTTTATGTTTGTGTGTGTTCATGCCTGTTTTAATTCAATGACAGAAATATTTCTAGAAAATTTTTAAAATGTTTTAAAAAATAATTTTCATTATTGAATAATTTCTGAAAGGTTAAATAAAATCTTATAATTATTTACTCTATTTACATGCAGACTGTTGTCCTCATCTTTGTTGTTGTTATCACAGTGTTGTGCCTTTTGGCCTTCATCATGGAATTCTCAAGGGACAATAGTCTAGTGGATTAAAGTGTTGGTTTGTTAATCTGGTGACATAGTGATTGGAAGTTCAATCCCTGTGCCGGGCAGTGTCTACTTGAAAACAGGGTGAGCAATAACTGAGTAGTGCTAAAAAATAAGAACTCAATGAAATATCCCTAGACAAATGAGAACAGTTTGCCCATAGATTAAATGAAGGGTTCCATTTGGAATTTTCTGATGATGGCCAGAGGGCACAATGGCTGAAACTTTGTGATAATAACAGCAAAGATAAGGAGAATAGTTTGCATTTAAATAATGATAAATACTTGTGCAAATTCAATTCCAATCAGGTTTGTTTTATTCACTTGTATACAAATACCTTTGGGAAAGGCATGAATCTGCCTTTTTTCTGACCCCCCCAGCTATGGATTAATTAGTGGAACTTGTATCTGTAAATCATTATCTCCCCAATCTAAAAATATTTTCTGGCTTTAAATAACCTATAAAAGGTTGATAAGCCATAAAAAACAAATCAATCAATATCACATTTGAGAGAATTTCTCATAATTTTTAAGGAAACTGCTGTTTTTTTTTTCTCCCTATTTTGCTGGGTCTGACAGTACAGGTAGACTAACAGAATTTTTTCTGGTACCCTTGGTTCCAGAATTATGTCAGATTATCTATTTTGCCAGACCAACAGAATTCAATAATTGACCTCTGACTCACTAATTATGCAGACTTTATATCTCTATGACATCATCAACTGTTAGAAATATTATAGTAAACGATTATTAAATATGATTCCTGGTGAATTAGTCTGGCAATCATATGAAATTTAAATGCTTGCTTGTAATTTTGTCTGAAAAGAGGTGCTAGTTTCCAGAAAATCAGTACCAACAAAATCCTCAAGATTTTATCTTCAACTGGTGATGACTGATTTTCCCATCAAGCATTGTTTTGTTTACTTTTTACGTCCATTGTTAATGTTGCTGAATCAGCCATCTGTTTGAACAAATTGTCATAAACCCACTTTTTGTTCTTTGAAAAATTCTACATTTTAAAATATGTAATTAGTTTATTTTTTTTTTTTCACAAGTTATTTTTTCAATTTCCTTTAAATAAAACACTGTTTTTTATTACTAATGTAAGTGTATGTGTGTGTGGGGGGGTCTTTTCTGTTGTTGCTTTTTTATCACCACATTGGATCACTGCACTAACATAACAAGGGAAAGGGGTGAGAGAGAAGTAACAAAGAAATGATAGTAATGAAAAGTGTTAAAAGAAATTTCAATCTCTAATGATAATCTCATTTAAATATCTTCTAAAGTGGATTGTATTTTTCTATTTCGTATTTCACTTGCTGACTGGTGTTTGAAAAAAATTATAATTTCTAAAATAATCTGATCAGTAAAATTTGCCACTTTTAGTTTTACATGACAGACTAAAAGAAGGTTCAAAATGTATATGTGTGTAAATTTTGTGATGTTTCTTATCTAGAAAACCCTTGTCAGGTTTATATAAATTGTATTTTTGTTTCAGTAAAAAATTATTAAAACTGAATTCATGGTCCGGATTTCAATCCAGGTGATAATATTTATTTGTAAGCAATTTATCTTTTAGAACAACTGATTTGACACTTTGTTCAAATCATTTCTAAAGATTTTAGTAAAAAAAAAAATGAGTTACAAATTACAATAGTTCTTTTATTTTCCAATATTTTCAAAGAAAATAGTGTCAAATTCTAACAGCACCAAACCATTTTCATGCACTTAAAAAAAACTAAAAAAAGAAAACAAGGTTTCTCATGTTTTATTCACTGCAGTAACCAGTTTTTTTTCCTCCTAGTGATGTCTTTTTTTACAAATCTTGACTGGATAACACCTTTTCATGCTTAAATTTCATATTTTAAATTTTAAGGATTCATCTTAAAATATACTTTAATTTAAAATACATTATTAAAAGAAACATATTTTTTCATGAGAATATTATCTGCTACCTGTATGGATATATTAAGTAGACTTAAGTTTTGCACAAGGTCACTAGTATGAAGTACCTAATGAGGATCAGACCTGTTTATTTAGATTTTGATTCTGTAACTATTTTTAAGAAAATTGATGAAAAGTGGAAAAGGTTTTCATGTGACATGTTTTGTCCTTTAGGACTTTGTTGGACTAAAGTGATGTTTACATTGATGTGATTAAACATGGCCATGAAAGAAAGAGCATGTTAAAATTTTAAATTTAATGTTTTTAAATATCACTTTAGTCCGATAAAGTCCAATGAAGGATGAAATGTGTCACACAAAAACCTTTTCCACTTTGTCATATATTTTCCTAAAATTGTTCTTGATATATAAAAGTATATTACAGACTTTCAGTAGGAATGCTTGCTAACAATTCTAATAATGAATTTTTTTTAATTCCTCTGGTTTATACAACCTACAATTCCCAAGACAAAAAAATGCAAAGATTTTTTTCTTCTATATAATCCCCAGCTCCTAAAAGAAAATAACTCAAATTATTCACCTGAAAACCTTTGTGATTAAATGATCCACCTGGATTGTTCTGCCACAAGACTGATCAATCAATAATTCCTCTGATGGCAAATGGATTGTTAAAGTCATTCTTTTTATTTTCGTTTTAATTTATTTTATATAATGACTATCTACTCAATAGGGTTTATTTATCACATGCATTCTTCATCAGATTTGAGGCTCAGTGTCTGTGATTCCTTAAAAAAAATGTTCTCAGACAAATTGTATTTTTCTCATAGTTGCCAAATTTTCAGTTAACACACTTTTTAATTATTGTTTGAATTTCTGGGATGAGGAATTATCATTATTTACATTCAGACTATTGTACTCATCTTTGTTGTTTTTATCACAATGTTTTGGCTGTTGTGTTCATTAGCCTTCTTTAATCTTTTTAATTACAAAAGTTTTATTGCTGACTTATGCCTTGTCTGTTAGAAGAGCCAACATTTTTCAGCACATAAGTATCATGATAGAATCACATGATCAACTTCTATGTTGATAATATTATTATTATTATTATGATGATGCTGATGATGTCATTTTATGTTGATGTTTTGGTCTTGTTTAATCTTTATGGGTTTCTTTATCAATCTTTTTGGAATAACACAATCAATGAACCAAATGAAAAATCATCATCTTGAAATTGTATGAACATTTTTAGCGAGCTTAAAATGAGATCACGGCTTCTCTGTTATGACAGTTCTACAGTAGGATGCTGAGAATACCATAAACTGAGCATGTGAGCAACAAAGAAGTTTTAGAAAAATGGAAAGAAAAAGGACATTTATACTTAATATCAGGAAAAGATAGAAATTTCTAGGGCACATAATGAAGGAAGAAGGCTTGGAAAATTTGATACTCACAGAACTGATTGATGGTAAGAAGAAAGCAATACATTTTACCTAATGAGCTTGAGTAAACAGATGGTGAGGCAAATTTTAGGAGCGATAACAAAAAGACAAAATTTATGAAGAGCTACAAAGGATAGGAAATTGTGGAGAGCCATGATCGCTCACATCCTGAAGAGACACAACACATAGAAGAAGAACAAGCTTGAGTAAATGGATGGTGGAGCAAATTTTAGGAGCAATAACAAAAAGACAAAATTTGTTAAAGCTACAAAGGACAAGAAATTGTGGAGAGCCATGATCACTCATGAGGGGAGAAAACACATTGAAAATGATGATGACTACTGTCTTGTTAGTGCTTACTTGATGTCTAGTTGTTTAGAAATTGATTAGAAACAAAATATCTTAAACCTTAAATAGTTGTCAGTCTTCTCTCTTCTAAAATGTTTTTGTTTTCAGAAATGAAGTATTAGTTTTGAGGCACACTTAATTGATTTCTGTTGTATTCCTGATATCTTTTTCTATCACTATCAAAGGGCTTGCAAGATTTCTCTGTTTCTTTTAAGATTTTTTTGGAATGTTTAATATTTGTACAAATTTGAATATTATACTTTGTAAGGTAAGGATATGTAGAGAGTAGAACTGAAGTGCTGGGTTCAAATTTCAGGTTTTACTCTATTGCATTCACTTTCACACTAATGAAAAGCATCCTAACCCTGGAACAAGAGATTAACTTCTACTCTTGTTCCACCTCAGTCTTTTGAACAGGAGTCTAAAGTCTTTTCATTCTCTTTTGCTCCCAGTAGCCCCTTGCATTTCAGTGGCATTATTGCTTTGTCTGGGATGAATTCATCTAAAAAAAAAAAATCTATCATCAAGAGGGATGTAGCATTATAGAAAAACGAAATCTCATTAGAAGAATCAAAAATTGAATTATTTTGACTTTCAAAGAAAGTAGAGCTTGTTAGAAACATATAGACTTTAAGTATAAGTACTACTGCTCTAATAGTTATTTTTTGGCCTCTTGTTGAACAAGAAAATCTTGATTGCAAATGGAAATATTTTTAATTTTGAATAGCAAAGCTCTTCTTGATATTAATGTTTATTTTAATTTAAAACAGTTTTAGAAAATAGTCATTTCTTGCACACGATCAAATTGGGATTTTAATGAACAGTGTTTTCTTTTCTTTTCTTTACTTAAAAGTAGACATTAAAGTAGTTGACCTGTTCAAATACCTTGAAAATTCATTGAACTCTTTACACTCAACTCCACCAAGGCTGAATACAAATAATTAGAGCATAGCCTACAACTTTGTGAATATAATACTTTCTCCTCAGCAAAGCCAGAAGAAATATTTGTCTTTGTTTTCCACTAGAAAGCATACACACTCTTATAATTAAATAGCTGTTAATAATTTTAATGCTCACATTTTAACATTCCTCAAAGTGTGAGTAAGCTTCTCTCTCTTTTCTTTACTGGAGGTGTGTCTGTCTGTGTGTCTGTGTGTGTGTGTGTGAGGGGGGCTTCAGCATTATTTTCAGTCAGTGCCATTAAAAAGCAAAATATTTAGCAAAATAATTGTATTTTCATCATTGCTTATATTACTTGATCTTATTGCTATAAAAATAGCATTTATTTCATAAGATTTTTAAAGTTTTGCTGTGTGTGTATACACACACAGAGAATAAAACTTTAAAAATCTAATTTAAAATTATTTCAAAAGGAAAAGAAATTTTTATCTTTATTAGTCATTATTTTTTTTTACAATTTTTAAAGTTTTGCTGTGTGTGTGCACACACACACACACACACACACACACACACACACACACACACACACACACACACACACACACACACTAAAACTTTAAAAATCTTAAAAAATAATGACTAATAAAGATTAAAATTTCTTTTCCTTTTGAAATAATTTTAAATATTGATAACTTAATTAAAATACCAGTTCTATTTATTTACTTTTCTCATTCAAACCAATTTTTTTTCTATTAGTTGACATTAGAAATAATGTCTTGCTTTTGATCCTATAATTTTAACAAGATGTCAACTGTTCAAAATATTAAAATCCTGTTTAAATTTATTTTTCTTTTCTTTTCATTTCTTCTATTTTTCATTTCTATCTTTCTTTTTTTGGGTGGGTTACATTTTAATAAGCAGATTAACACGAAATAATATTTTATAGTCAAAATAGCCACAATCAAAACATCAGCAAGTAATGGGGTTCATAAGAAAAAATTCTTTATTCATGTTTTAGCTTCTATTTTTATATAATTTCTCATGCAATTTAGAGTTGATATTAGTTTTAATTTAATATAAACTGTCACCTAGTTCTTTGTACCATTGAATAACACCAAACTATTTCAAGGTTTTCATTCATATGACTAATTCTATCTTTGTAGTAAAGAACAAAGTAACTTACATTGCCAAATGAAACACCCACATGCCAAAAATGTTTTAATAAAATCACGGACCTTGATTCTAGCTCTATTCCATAGAGAGTTCAGCAGCTTATGCAGATTTTTATTTGACCAATCGTGGATATATCTCGGTTGTTTCAGAGGCTGGCAGTTAGTATTTGGTGTGGTGTGTGGTGATTATTATTTTGCGGGTGGGGTGGGACTTTTATAAGGAAACAAATATCATATGCAATCCCCACTTTCCAGCCTTGGTAGAATTCAAAAGTACTTATATGGCCTTGTTGGTGATGAATTATTTTCCACCTTTTCTCCACAGGTAAAATGTTGCTAGCCTCTCATTTGTCTACTGCTATTTTTATGGCGGATGTTCAGGTGAATGACATTCTTTGGTTCCACCAGTTCAGACCTTTTCAGCTAAGACCCATCAAGTTTATGTGAACTAAGTTAATTCACCCTCATTCTCTTTGTATTTCATTGGTAAAGATGAAGTTGTTTCTTCCCTAGAACTGTTACATTGTGGTGAAGACTCCTGAAAAGATGCTACCAGGTCGCTACAGTCTTAATCTATTCATCACTAGGGTCAACCGTTATCTATCCTACAGATCCTTTTAATATGCACTTCCCACCTTGTACACCTTTGCAGCAGCTTCATTTACTAACTCTACCTTGAGTGACTCTTGGACCTTATATTGGATGAACAATAAAAAAAAGTAATAAATTACAAATTTTTTGACTCCTGTATGAAAGTATCTTGAGCTAATTGGAAGGTCTTAAAAAAATGTTCATTGATGTTCATTAATGTGATGTGTCTTTTAAATTATATTTTCTTTCTTTTTTTTGTCTTTCAGGACAATGCTGAATTTTTAAATTCTATTGATGCAGACTCAGCAGACACGTTTGAGACAGCTCATGTGGATGCAATCAAGGGTTGCTGGACAGATCCTGGTATGCAGGAATGTTATGACAGACGAAGAGAATATCAACTGACAGATTCAGCCAAATAGTAAGTGCTGGAAAAAAAGCATTTCTTCAAGGCTTCTTGGACTTAAATTATGGCTAGACATTGACACATACCTTTTCAATTCTTTATATGATTTTTAGTTTGTGAATAAAATGTTCATTTTATTTTTAAATTGTTTCAAAGACACAAATAAGAAGGTTGAACTTGTAGTCGACAAAAAAGCATTTCCTTATATTTTTCTTGATTGGAACAAGTGTTAGAATGTCTGATGCCTCAGTGATCCTGTTCTTTTATTGTCCTTTCTCCTCATTAAAGTCTTCTCATTCTCTTTCACTCTCAGTAACCCCTTGCATCCTAGTGGCATTATCGCCTTGCTTGGGGTGAAATGATAAAAAAAAAGAACAATTTCTCAAACCAATGGATCTACTTGAAGCATATTTTTGGCTTTCTGGAGGATACATCTTTTATGTACCATGTCTCTTCAGGACATGAGCAATCATGGCTCTCCACAATATCCTAGACTTTGTAGCTCTTAGTAAATTTTATCTTTTTGCTGTCTCTCTTAATCCCTGTTCTTCCAACCATTTATGAAAGCTTGTTAGGTAGGTTCTGTGATAATTTCCTCTGGCCCTCTTCCCTTCAATATGCCTTGTGAGTGTCAAATTTTATAAGCCCTCTTTCCTTATGTGCTCTAGAAATTTCAACTGCCTTTTTATGATGTTAATTATAAGTGTCCTTTTTGTTTCCATTTACTTTAAAACTTTGTCATTGTTCACATGTTTAGTCCATGGCATTCTTAGCATCCCTCTGTAGAACCACATTTTTGTTGCCTCAAGTCTCTTCATCTGTGATGAGATTGTATAGATAAAAATAATGGAAAGTAAATGGTTTATGTTGGTCAAAACTTATATTTTCCTGGTTGAGGTCATTTTAGTTTTAGATTCAATCACAGAAGAAAAATGGAAAGAATTCACAATTCAATGTTTATTCTTTTGAAGATCTTATTGAAGGTACAAAATTAAATCGAACAGGACAGATGTAATTAAAATGAAAGTAACAAGGAGGAAAATAATTTAATCAGTTTAATACAAAAGAGTCGGGGAGCTAACCAGTTATTGCTCCTTACTCATTAGAACTCGATCATAAAGAAAAAAATTTTTTATACAACCAACTAAAAGAAAACATAGAATAGAAAATACACCATATCAATAATGTACTGGGGTGAATATATTTTTTAAGGCAAATCATATTAAGTCTCACCAGCCATTCCTTTTGTTTACATAGAGAAAATCACCTTGACTTAAAAATATTTTCTCAAAACTTTAGATAATAATTCAAATGTGATCTACATAAAATTGAGAACATATCCTCTTGATAAGCTGAAGTTTATTTTTTTTGTATATAATTCTGGTGACTCCTACTAGGAAAGATTTACATAAGTTTTATCATTATATTTTTAAGGCATTTTTTTTTTTAATATTTTTAATCACTTCACTCCCAAGTGAGACGATAAAGCCACTAAGATGCAAGAGGTTAGAGAATATTGGTGGTGGGTGGACACTATTAAGTAAAGAGAACAATAAAAGTACAAGAATTAAGAAAAGAGAAGATAACAATTAGCATTGCATTTAAATTTTTGAAGATCAAAGTTGACTGGGAAACAAAAAGCCAGAAGAGAATTCCACAATTGAGAAGTGCAAGAGAAGAAACTATTAGCATAGAACTTATGGTTGCATCAAGCCATTTCAGTTGTAAAATGATGAGACCTAGCTGCCAATCTAGTACTGCACAATTAATAAAGTTTTGGTGCCACAGAGGAAAGTTTATCATAAAAATTAACAGTGATGTTATATTACAGTTGTAGGAAAGTGAGTGAAGCCAGGATGTCATACCAGGATCAATGGCATTGCAGATTTTTCTTTCTTTTTTTTTTATCAAGAATCTCTAAATATATGGCAGAAGTGCCAGAGACTTATAAATATGTAAGATAGATTTAAATGGTGAGAAAAATTGTTTAGTATGACACAGTGAACCAACTTTTTTAGCAGCTGACCTAGCAGTTAATTTGATATAATTTTTTCCACTTCATGTCAACGGAAAAACGTTAGTCTGAGAAGTCACAAGAGGTCACTTTTGTGGAGGTTATCGTTACATCTGTTATTAGCTTGAAATAAATAATAATAATCTTCAGTTTGTTGTTGGAACAAATCATATAAAAATCATAAAAACCTAACATCATAAAATATTATTACTCATTTGTCTGTTTTCTTTTAACTTTGAAAGCATCACTGTTTTAATTTTTTTTTATAGTTCAAAAAATATTGTGCAGCTTTGTACCATAGACAATTTTATCACTGAACTTTTAAAAAAAAAGAATATTTTTAACACTATCTTTAAATAATTTCAATTATGTTTAAATTTTCTTTTTAACCTTTAGCACTTTGCATTATTAATATTACTTCCCTTTCCACTGCATTCTTTTTCAAGGCCTCTCAGTTGCAATATTCTTAATGTTAATTTCACTCAAAGTTGTTTTCTGTTACCATAGCAGGATATGACAACACAACTATAATATTCAAACACACTATTCTTCAGGGATCAGTAACCTTAAGTGCAGGATAAATTTTTTGTAGAGCAAATGAAGTTACATATAGAGAGGGATAAAAGTTAAAGGAAGAGAAAAATACTGTGCAGTGGGAACAGGATTTTTAATGTTGCGTGTCAAAAATGTTTTCTTAATAATAAAAATTGGTTTACTATTGTGTAGCTAAGTTAAAATATTAGATTTTCAAAGTTTCTCTTAACTTTATATTCTCAATATTTCTTGCTTCCTGAATATAAATTGTAATTTTATATTTTGAAAGTACCAAATTCTTTTAGTTTGTCCAATGTATGGATTTACAGTATTTTACTTTTGCTACATTTGGGACTTGATATAATCTGATCTTGCTTTTGTAGGAGGAGACTAAATCTGTAGCATTTGAAATAGCTTTTCAACTTGTTTAAGTTATTCTTGAAACTTTTATTTACTACAAGTTCTGAAGATAATAAATCTCAAGTATTTGATATTTGGAACCTGACAATTGTCATTGTTACTGCTTCTTTTGTTTTTCTTATATCTCTTGATAGAAACACTTATAAACCTTAGAAATAACCAGAAGATTATTTTAATAGGTAAGAATTTGGTTTGAATATGAGAAACTTGTTTAGCTTGGTTAACTGTAGCAAGAATTAGACAGCCTCTTTATATTATATTATTTTGCATTTGTTTAATCATTTCACTCCCAAGAAAGGCAATAAAGCCACTAAGATGCAAGAGCTTACTGAGTGTGAAAGAATGAGAAAGAAAAAACATTATTTGTGAAAGAAAATAATAAAAGAACTGGAATTAAGAAAACAGAAGATAACGCTTGATATTGCATTAAAATTCTTAAAGATCAATGTTTACTGGAAAGCATTTAACCAGAAGAGAGTTCCACATGCAAGAAGTGTGAGAAAAGAAATTGTTAGCCTAGAACTTATGGTTATATCTAGCAATTTCAACTGTAAAATGATGAGACCTAGCTGCCAATCTAGTACTGCGCTTAAATCCATAAAGTCTAGGTAGTATAGAGGAATGCTCATCATAACAATTAACATGAAAATATTTATAGAAAAATATATATATATATATATATATATATATATATATATATATATATATATATATATATATATAGTTTCAAAGTGCTAAGAAGTGAATATTTGCATTAGATTTTTCAGTTTTGATTTTTATTGTGATTAATTTTTTCAGTAGGATTTTGTAATATTATAATTTTTTTGTAACACATTGACGGATGTTAAAATCCTCTCTGTATTTACTAGTATTGAAATTATCATCAACATTTTTGGTCAAGATTTACAAACTGTTTTGTTCAATTTCACAAACTGATTGATCAAATTTGAATAAGCCGATTTGTTTAGAAAAATACTTTGATATAAACCCTAATTTGCAGTTTTTATTTACCTTAGTAAACGAATCGTACTCTGTACCCCCCACCCCTTACCCATTGTCACTTCTTTTCAGAACCCTCACAAAATGAACATTTGAAATGTTAAATCCAATCAATTTTTCAAGAAATTGTTTTATATTCAGATTCCAGTTGTTTTTCTTCAACAGATTCTAAGGAAGTTTGCGTTCACAGTAGTAATGCAACATCTTTTTCCCATGTTTGCAAGAAGCATTTAGGCAATTTTTTTAAATTCATTTTTTTTATTTACCTTTTCAGTTTCACTTTGCAGAGATTGAATTTCATTTGTCATTAAAAAATATTTAGTCTTTTACATTTTTTTTTACCTGTCAGATTTTTAAATTTCAGAAATTCTTTAAACAATGAGGAGCATTTTGTCTGAATTTTGGGGATCAAATTATCATTATTTACAATCAGCCTTATATCCCCATCTTTGTTGTTATGATCCCGTTTCAGTTGTCACACCCTCCAGGCTTCTTTGAATGTCTCATGATCTTTATGATGGTAGTGAGAATTTGAATAAAGGGTTCCGTTTGAATTTCCCTGAAGATTATCAGGATTGACTGATACCTGAAGAAGGCTTGAGGGCACAAACATTGAAATGTGATTGCAACGACAAAGATGAGGATATTAGTCTGAATGTAAATAACATGAATAGCATCATGAGTTGACAAAAAATTGTTTTTCATCATCTTGAAAACTTCCCCTTTGTTACTCCTCTAAGTTGCTAAAATCTTTCTCCAAAGTTATTTCTGAAAAATATATATATATATTTTAATCATCAAATACCATTTAAACCAGTGTGTTGCAACCTTTTTTTTTCTTTGGGCCCATTTTTGATGCATGTATCTTTTGATACATGACTGACAAGGCAGATTTTTTTTTCAGTTTACTTAGTAGGTTGCCATTTCTTTCTGCAGTAGACCAGTTGCCATCCAAGGCTATAGAACCTGGTCTGTCCTGCTATTTACCCA